AAAACCTTTTCAAATTATTATTACAGTACCAGGTAGTTGTTTTCCAGATGATCAAGGTAAAGTTTTTTTTAAGCTTTTACCCCTTTGTTGGATCTGACAAAACTGGATTACATGTCAAGGGACTTGAGAGGAACTTAAAATTGTCTTCCCTCATTTCTCATGGGACCTGCAGCTCTGTCCTCTTCAATGGCAGAGGAGACAATGGGTTCCAGATTGAATAAAACCCACTGCCAACATTGACTAAGCAAATTACTGAACCTCTCTGCATCTCAGTGACCTTATCTTTAATGCTAGGATAATGTGTTATCATAGGTTTTTGTGATAATTACAAAGTTATTACATGAAAAGCTTATATAAGAATATACGGCAAAAGTTAGATTTTTTAAAATGCCACATTTATTTTTAGTATTCACTTTTTTTTTTTAAAGATTTTATTTATTTGACAGAGAGAGACATAGCAAGAGAAGGAACACAAGCAAGGTGAGTGAGAGAGGGAGTAGCAGGCTTCCCGCCAAACAGGGAGCCCGATGCGGGGCTCGATCCCAGGACCTGAGATCATGACCTGAGCCGAAGGCAGATGCTTAACGAATGAGCCACCCAGGCGCCCCTTCATTTTTGTTTTTATCTCAGTTTTGTTTCCTAAAAACTCTTGGATTAAATGTGATTTAGTAGAAAGTCTCAATTCTAGAATTTTTTAAAGTAATTTTCTTTGTTCTCACTACCTTTAGTAATTTAAGTGCTGGATATTAAGTAGCCTGTCTGCTTTAGCTTTGACAGTATAAAACTAACTGTAATTATAAATATTTTTCAAATTAATTTGCTAAAATATTTGAAAAGGGGTTTCCTTTATGCTTTTACCTTATATAAATTGTTAAGAAAACTATAAATAGTATCTTTGCTTTGAGCCCAAATGCATTTAAAGATCAAACATTCTAAATTATGGAGTCCTAGTACTGAGTTTTTATGGTGGTTGTATTTTGGCATCTAACTAACCTTTTACCATTACCTTCTTTCAGTAAGTGAGAAACTGTCTTTTAAAAGGCTTTTCTAACAAAAAGAAAGCCTCCCAATTTACTTGGTGGGTACTTTATCTGAAACTTAAAATTAGTAAAGAATTTTATAAAAATCACAAAGGAGCTTACTGAGTAAAGAAGACCACAAGAGGTTCATAGATACATATGCAGTCACCTAATGAAGGTTCTTGGACTAGCATTTCATCCTTTATTTTGTGATTCACCCTGGAGAGTCCACTAGAGCATAAGGAGGGGCACGTAATGAATGAAGAAGGAAACTGCGTATCAGAAGTGAGCAGCTCCCTGTAAGTTCAAGCATAGCTCCTTTACCAACTCTTTTTTATTATTTTATTTTTTTCTATTCATTTTATTTAATTTTTACTTTTTATTTTAGAGAGTGCACAAGCAGTGGGTAAGGGAGAGAAAGAATCTCAAGCAGACTCCATGCAGAGTGCAGAGTCTGACACGGGGCTTGATCTCACAACCCTGAGATCATGGCCTGAGCCAAAATCAAGAGTCAGATGCTTAACTGACTGAGCCACCCAGGAGCCCCTCCATCTCACTTTTTTGAACAGATATTGGAGTAGTGCTTTTAAAATGCCTGCCCTCTCTCCTCCTACCTCAATAAATGTTTATTGAATAGATGCTCTATGAAGTTGCTTTGCCTGACAGAATGGAAGACAAAAGACAAATGAAGCATTATTCCATTGTTCTTGTGTTATATTGACAAAAGAGAATAATATTGATAGTTACCCTCTATGGAGCAACAACTACACACTGGACATTATACTGGGTAGCTTACAGATATTAGCATATTCTTATCCTCACAGAAAATTCCATCAGCTAGATATTATCTCTAGTTAACAGATGAAGAAACTGAAGCTCAGATTAAGTTATGAAATCTGTCCAAAGTCAGTGATTAAATGGTAAAAAAAAGTCAAGATTCAAATCCAGGCAGTGTGACTATCAGTTCCTTGTTTCTAACCATTTGTGCTCTGTACAAAAGTATATGTCCTAAATTCATCATAGTGCCATACACAGCTAGTCACAGTGCTCTACAGAGGCTCTATGAATGTATTTTAAAGTTATATTTTAAATTTCAAGATATTTAACAAAAAAGGGTATTAGCACCACTCCACAGAGCAAGGTTCATCTGGAGAATTACAAATAGTTTTAACCAATACACATCTAAAATTAATCCAGAGAGTTGAACTTTTCTGAAACTATTTCATTTATTAAACTGTAGAAGTACACAGGAAGACATTTTTCTGGGTCATCCTTCTAAACCTTAGGTGTATCTGCAAAATCTCCAAAAATTTTGGACATACTTCATAATGTTTTAACAAGTTTTAAATTTTGTATTATTTTGCAATCCTATAAGGAGTTTTCTTATGCAAAGCTAAATTTTGGTACATACACAACCAAGGCAAATTATCTATGTAACAGTCTCACATATTTAGCTTTTATGGTCCATTTGCCCTTAATAACTGAGATAATCCAGCTACAAACTTTGTTGAAAACTGTAAAATATTGATTACAATGTAATGTTCTGAAATAGGCTTAAATTCAAGACAATCAATTTATAACACAGCCACTGAATCACCTAATAAAAATTTTCTTTCCCAACTTTGTATCATCAAAGACTACTTCTCAGTATAGGAATTAAATGTTAGATGTATGAGCGAATGACTAAATTTTGTCTGATCAAGTTTTTAGATTGATAATTGAAGAATGTTTTATTCTTCAAGGATAAAGAAGAGTGCCTATGACAGGAGGGAATTTTTATATTCCTAGTGTAGAAGCAAACCGTATTTTTCTGTTTTTGATATCTACAATCAGAAGGTCCAGCTAGTTGCTCAAGAGTCCTAGCCTAGGGCACTCTTTCGAAGGAAGATGTGAATTTACTCTTGGCACAAGTGCAGGAACACACTGTATATGGCTGAGATGACTAAGCTAGTGTGAAACCCCATGAGTCAGTGCAAACTTTCAGAGGGTTGGACTCTAAGAACTCAGGGTGACTTTAAAAGGAGTAGGATCTTCAAAGTTTAAAAATAACACAAGGAGAGAACTGTAATTCACAATAGTTGGCTAAGGATCTACAGGAATGTGACTAACTTGTACCTAGTGTTTAAAAGCTTATTCCAGAGCACCATTTTCTGAAGTATGTCCAGTGAAATGTATTTAATAGATGCAACTTGCAAAACCCATTGTCTGATAGCTTGGGAATCAGTGGATTAAACAGAGTTAAGGACATTTTTTTAGAGTAGTACTAATATGTGCTGTGAATTCCAAAGGCAAGGAAAGGGAATGAACTACTACTTCCCTAACTAATCTGATCATACAACCTTTTCTCTTTGTGGAATATTTCTTAGGGTTATTCTTCAATGGAACATATTTTGAGAATTGCTTTGATTCTCAAAATGAAATCACTGATTGCACTTTAATGTTTTGAAATTTAAAAATAATTTAAGAGTTCTAATCTGGAGCTCACACAAGGAACACACCTTATGCTCTGATCATTAAAGTATGGAAATCAAGGTTCCTATTGCTGCTTAACAGCAGCATACACTTAATTGTAGAGAAGATATGCAGTAAAACAACAACAACAAAAACCAAACCAAAACCAAAACCAAAACCCCAGCCTACAGTACTGAACTGTAAACATACAGTTATAATATGATCATGAAGTTACAATTATCATTCAAATTGTATCATTTCAAATTGCTTTTTGTTACACACATACCCCTAGAAAGGTGCCATGTCCTGTTTCCCTTGTCTTTTCAAAACACCTACATGATGATGGATGCTTAATGGGTTCTTGAAAGTTGTTTGTTTTTTTTTTGGTGGAGACAGTGGGGGTTTGGATGAGGGACAGGGAAATCTTGTGATAAATATTAAGAGAAAAGCCTCAAAACCCTCAAATCTGAATTTAATATAGCAATTGAACAAGATTTGGTTAAGAAGTTGTGATGCATTTTCCCATGGACATAAGTGAAATGACCAAAAGGGCTCACTTTAGAAAACAGGTTATAGAAAAATAAAAGGTATATATTATAGATACTAAATCAGCTGCAAACTTGCTGGCCTGGGTTCCCACCCATTGTGGGATCACATTCCCATTGTGATCTTTAAAATAGTTCATTTGCTCATTCATGTGTTCACTCACTCAACAGAGGCTTGCAACCACATGTCAGACATACTAGGCTGGACACTGCCCTGAGAATGGATTTCATCCAACTTTGTGAGTTTAGAGCATCACATACTACCTAGGTATCATTTAACTTCTTAATATCATTAGCTAGCTTGGTCAGTGTCTGGCCCACAGATGTTTGACACTGAGGGTAGTGGTAAAAATAACAACACCAGCAACATTTAAAACGACTCCACTTACTGAGTGCTTACTATGTCCCAGGTACCAGTTGAGCACTTTGTATATGTGATCTCATTGAATCATTCTCACACTTTCAGTAGGTAGGTATTATACTGAGATAGTGAGATGTGAAAGACTTGACCAAATAAATAGTGGAGATAAAATCTGAACTCATCTCTGATTCCAAAGCCTTACTCTTAACTATTATGGAACAGAACTAAATACAAAAGCTCAATCTTCAATGACTTTTTCAGGATTGTGGATCACAGGCATCCCTCATTTTACTGTGCTTCACAGATATTGCATTTTTTACAAATTGAAGGTTTGTGCAACCCTGTATCAAGTAAGTCTATCAGCGCCATTTTCCCAACAGCATTTGCTCACTTCAGGTCTGCATCACATTTTGGTAATTCTCACAAAATCTCAAACTTTTCCATTACTATATTTGTTATGGTGATCTGTGACCAGTGATGATGACTCACTGAAAATGGTTAGCATGTTTTAGCAATAAAGTATTTTTTAATTGAAGTATACAAATTATTTCATTAAACATAATGCTATTATTGCACACTTAACAGACTACAGTATAAACACAACTTTTATATGCATTAGGAAACCAAAAAATTCATTTGACTCACCTTTTTGCAATTTTCGCTTTATCACAGTGGTTTGGAACAGAAACTATGAATCTCAGAGATCTATCTGTAATGTATTTATACATAAATGTGTAAAATGCAAGCTTATGATATAGGATCTATGATACGGAGTTTCCAAAAAGGCCACTTGTATGTTTTTTAGTGAACGGTTTTCTCTGGAACTTACTTTTGATTTACTGTGTCGTATGAGGGCAGACAGCAGTCTGTTGGACTCCCCCATCACACCAGCGTGATCTTTGGCTTCACACCATTCTACCAAACGGTCCACTAATTTAACATTCTTTCCCAGTTGTTCAGCAGCTTCTGCTATAGGAAAGAAGTCAAACCACAAAGGAAACATCACTGAAAGGCAACCAAGTGAAACAACTGGTAAAGATCTAAGAGTATGAAAGAAAATTTTATACACACACACACACACACACACACACGGCACAACACAATGATTTTATTAAGCAAGAACTGCAAATACTCCATATCTAATGGACTATTTAGCTTCTTCTACAAAGTTGTGGACTTTCATACAAAACATAAAATACAAAACAATGTTATACTCTTATGGTTCAGCCTGGTAGTCTGTCAGTACTCTGGCAAACCGTAACAAAGGGTAGGAGCAGGACTCTGAGAAATCAATATAGAGAAAGGTTTAGAATTTAGAAATAAGTAAATGAACACAATTCACTCCAAGGAGTAGTTTCCATCATTGTTTCTGTAAACAGAAAAATGATCACCCTGTTTGCAAAATAAATTTTTAAGAATTTTGACTGTCCATCTACTGCAACATGATTTTCAAGACAAGGTAAAAACGGGTATGAAACGGGGTGCCTGGGTGGCTCAGTTGGTTAAGTGTCTGCCTTCGGCTCAGGTCGTGATCCTGGGGTCCTGGGATTGAGCCCCGCTTCTCCCTCTCCCTCTGTTGCTCCCCCTGCTTGTGCCCTCTCACTCTCTCTCTGTCAAATAAATAAAACCTTGGGCGCCTGGGTGGCTCAGTTGGTTAAGCGACTGCCTTCGGCTCAGGTCATGATCCTGGAGTCCTGGGATCGAGTCCCACATCAGGCTCCCTGCTCAGCAGGGAGTCTGCTTCTCCCTCTGACCCTCTCCCCTCTCATGCTCTCTCTCTATCTCATTCTCTCTCTCAATTAAATAAATAAAATCTTAAAAAAAAAAACAAAAACAAAATAAATAAATAAAACCTTAAAAAAAATGGGTATGAAACGCCAAAACATAAAAACCCTTCAGAACTGCTAATAAATCAACATAAAACCAGGATTATATGTACAGTAGAGATGCAATATAATTTCCATTTAAACTCAGTTATAACAAGCATGGAAATTAATGAATGAAACTCTAAAACCAATCTCTCTTTGCCTTTTATTTGCCATTTATCTTTATGATTACATAATTCTGAAAGCTAAAAACAAGTCCTTTTCAACTAAGGCAAATTGACTATCATACCAAAAATGTACCTTGTGAAAACATTTCCTTTACCTTGTGCATCTATTAACATTCTTAATGTTCCCAGAAGTTTGAACTGAACTGGAGGCATTTCAGACTTAAGGAATTTCAAAACTGCCTCTGTGACTCCAGCTGATAACATCTTTGCTTTATTTACAACTAGAGAGAAAGAGAGAGAGACTATGGTTAAAATGGTGCTAGCATTCTTGATGATAGTCATTCAATTCAATATATATTTATTGTCTTAATATTTTTAAGGCCCTATGTTACATTTTTCTATTTAAAAACAGTCTTGTTACTTTATTTTAAGAATAGGACTGGGGGTGGGGCATAATTATCCTGTTTGTCTATAGGAGCATAACATACAAAATCATATGTACTGGCTTTTTAAACCTACCCTCAAAACACTTAAACAATTTGTAAAGGAAATCTGACAGTTGTCTTCTTACTTACAAAGCAGCGTAATTCTTCAGCTTTAGTAAATGTTTCTTTTTACCTCTGTCCTTGACCCAACTGTGTTAATCTAGGAGTTCACAAAAGGTAATAGAATATTTCATCTGAACAAACACAAAGATTATGTTTTGTGAAAACTATTTAACATATGATCTCCATTTATTAGTAAGAAAAATGTAAACAATTTGAAGATTTTTTTTTTCTTGGTCAGGATAGGCCCACAAATCACATAAAATAAATACCTCCCTAAACAATAGATCTTATTTCGTACAGAGTTGCCTACCATTCTTAAGTCCTACCTGGAATGGCCAGATTTCTGAGGGCACTTAATGCTGCATGCTGTACAGTTACATTTCCATCTTCAACATGTCTGTCGAGTAAATCCATAAGTTTTTCTACAATTCCATTGTCTACCATGTGAATACAGTTTCCATCTGAATGAAACAAAAGCATTTTTTTCTTTCCTCTTTACAAATATCTATAAATATTTTATAATAGTGATGCCTATCCATTATCCATCTACATTCAGGAAAAATGGAGCTACAAGAAAATAAAATGAATTCCAACTCTTTCTCCCACCAGATTTATAGATTTTTTTTTTCTTTACTGAGTAAGAAGTCATGACAAGAAAAATCTCTAGCATACAGCCTGATAATATATTAGAAGATGAGTAAGTAGAAACCATAGGCTTAAAATGTTTACCAATAGATTTCACTTAAAGTGAACTATGCCCAAGTTCTGCCAATGTTACAGTGACAACAAAACATAGAGTGCTGTCATGGCTGATGTTTAAATTATTTTTCAATGTCAGAATTTTTGAAACATTTGTAAAGCAGAGAAAATATTATAATGAACCACTCACTATTTATTCCACATTTAGCTTCAATAGTTACCAATATTTTACTATTCTTAACTACATCATTAAGGAGTGAATGATCATCCTCAAAAATAAGGGAGTAAAAATGGAGTAAGACATCCATTATAGAGTTACAAAGCTCATAATGGAATAAAATCAAACTAAAAACAAAAAATAACCCATATTTCCTAGTCACAGTCTAAGAAGGAGTTTCTAGACTGAATAGCAGGAGTTCCAGACTTCAGAAATGAACATGAAGGTCTGGTGCCTTGGAAATGTTATTAAACCAAACTAAATATTCTACCCTAAACCAGAGGATTGCTCACACTTAAGTTTTAAGAGGCATAAAAGTATAAATTAAGGCACAATAACCCTACAAAGAATACTCAGATTATTAAATCAAAAAATCACCAGGCAAGAAAGCATATCCTCCCAGACACGGTGCATATTAGAATGGGACTCAAATTTAATGATCTGTAAAGTGCAGAGCACTCAAAGAAGGACTTCATGACCACTGTTCATGATCTTTAAACTACCAGAACTTAGTTAAATTGCACAAAATATGTAATTTGTTAGAAAAATCACTAAGTAGGGGTGCGTGGCTGGTTCAGTCAGTAGAGCATGAGAATCTTGATCTCAGGGTAGGGAGTTCAAGCCCCATGCTGGGAAGCAGAGCTTACTTAAAAAAAAAGGGGGGGATTACTAAGTATTTCATCTCTAAAAAATTAAGGTAGTGGTACACTACATATACTTCTGAACTGTTCCAGTTTTACTACGTGTAATGGCAAAGCAAAAATAAAAAAAATATATAGAACATCCAGTTTAAAAAGGATGAAATAACATGCTTACCGTTTCTGGCAAAATTTGCAATTGCCAATGCTCCAGCAAGCTGTAGCTGGTGGTTATTTGATGGAATCCAGGACAGTACCCTTTGAAACACATTACCTTTTCCTCCTTCAAATAATTTCTGCATGGATTCATCTGGAGGTAAATGAAAAAAATAGGTTAGAGGAAAAGAATTAAGAGTAACAAATCCATATTCCTATGTGACTATCCAACTGGATACACACTTCACAAACGATAATTCATAGAAGGAAAAGTAATGACTCCTTTTATAATAAGCTTTTAGTAGAGACTGGAAAAAGAGTTTAGGATTTTTCTAGTCTAAGTCTCAAATAACCCTCTAGCTTTCAGTCTTTTGGTGCCACAGCTAACCTATGACAGCTCTTGAAATATTGGAAGATAATGAAGACGCCTCTTTTCCAGGTTCATTATGTCTAGTTCTCTCCATGATGCATTTAAGGTTTCAAAATCATCACATCAACGGGATTAAAGGAAGCAGGAAAATGAGAAAACGCCTAATATATATAGTGCTCACAAAAGAGACAATACATTTTTAAAAATCTGACAATCATGTTCTTCGATTGACTTAAATTATAACTCACCTCCAAGAAGTAGTAAAACCATTAGATCTGAAGCAGTTTTGAGCTCAGCAATATCATCTTCTTTGTCACTATCCACTTTCTGCTGAACAATCTCTAGTAGACATTCTACCAGGCCTGCTTCAACCAGCTGTAGCTTAATAGCATCTAAAGAATATGTGAACAAAATAACCAAAACTTGAGATGAAATAAAAGTTCAGCTAGAAGCAATCCATTATGAAGAATTACAAGAAATAAAGAAAATGCCTGATTTAGATAATACACCTTCAAAGATTTCAGTTTCAAAATGAACTGTCTGACAGTGTAGCTTATATACTTTTATTTCATTTTTTTACTTGAAATTAGGTCACTTTTTACAATGTCTGGCAGCACCTAAACAAACTGATTCTCAACTTTGAAGGTAAGTAATAGCACTCCACTGTTATTCTAGATATCATGATCATGTTTAAAATACTTACTATAAAACACCCACACCATTTAAAATAAAACACATATGCCTGTTATATAGAGTTAAAATATATCCACTAACAGCATTTGAATAGAAAGATATTGAAAAGTAAAGCTATTAGTAAATTTCAAACTATACCTTAAGTATATTTGGAATATTTGTATAGACATGATTTTTTCTAAGGCAGTTAATCTACAACTTTCTGAACTTTAAAACTCATGTTTTTTAAAAGGGCTTCAGGTTTTCATTAATTTGAAGTTTTCCTGGGTGATGGTTACATGATAGTTCATTATACTATATTCGCTCTACATCTGCATAGGTTTTAAATTTTCCATACTAAAAGTTGAAAGAAAAAAATAACTTTGAGCTTTCTGATGGATAACAAGCAACAGTAAGGTATTTTAACAGCAAAATTTACATCCCAATTACACTGTTAAAAAGCCAGCTCTACTCTTATCAAATCATTTGTTTGCACCCCAATAACTTAGATATTTTTTTATTATAGAACTTATTTCATTGCAGACTTTATATTCATATCCATATCTGTCTTCCCCATTAGAGTAGGTATTATACCTCTTTCATCTTTGTATTTTAACCTAAACCGGTCTACCTAAATACTTTGGGTCTATTTTATAGCATTTAAGATAATTGCAGATCAACTGACCTTAGAAACATTTGCTACACAGAAATTATTAAATTTAAATCTTATTTTTTAGTTGGATTTTATTTTAGTCATTGGTTTCCCTACGCTGTATATGTACACATCTACAGCAATGGCAGCTTTAGGGTTATTTGGGAGAAACAAAGACCTTTTTATAATTGACATTTTCTTTTAGGCAAGTTTAAGATATAAAAATTTAGCCCCCCCCCCAACACCAGGACCACTGGTATTCTTTAGAATATTGTATCAGAACACACAGAATATTCAACCTGGAATTTTTTTTTAAAAGGTACACTTGCACTGTGCCATGCTGAAAGTAGGGCGTTTCCTTGGTTACAGAATGCTAGGGTTAGAAATGTGTGACTAGAATTGAAAGCCATGAGGAAAAGCCTTAAAATTCCTAAAAACCTTGAATTATACAAATCCCAATTTTAATGTCTCCTTTGCATACAAGGAAAACCAAGGATGAACACTAAGGATATTCCAGAAATAACTTTTCAAAAGTATCATTCAATTCATTGCACAATTATAAAACAGAAGTGAAGGTGGTAAAGGAGAAAGCAGATATAAGAAAAATGTTTTTATTTTGATATATTGCAAGAAAGATTACAGGTAATTCTCTGGTATAAAATTGACTGAAGGTCATAATAAAAACTTCATTTGGCCAAACCACCAAATGAGATGAGAAACAAATTTCTGCCTAAAGGATAAGATCTAAAGCCTTTAGAAAATTTTAAATGTGTCAAGATTAAAGTTTACAGATCTCTCCTCTCCCAGTTTAACTGTAATCACATATATATGTGGGAGGCTTTTTTATTAAGGAGGATAAGCAAGGCAGTCTGCCAAAGCAGATAGCCCAGCACACATTTATCAACACAATTCTGCCCAAGGACATCTATTTGTATAACTACCACTTGCATATATACGTAAGTATACATACATATGTATCATATATAAATACATACATCTACTATATCTGTGTACATATATATATTTAAAAATCTTCTCCAAATGGTGAAAAAAATGCCACAAATGCAGAAAAGTGCATAATATACATATTAGCTTAATCAATTACTATGAAGCAAATAACCATGTAATTTCCACCTAGATCAAGAAATTCATTGCCAGCATCCCAAGGGAGCCCCTTTGTAGCATTCCCTTTTCCCATCATATTCCTCCCTCCGTCCCTTTCAAATCACTACCTTGATTTTTATGGTAATCACATTCAGACTTTTCCTTATTATTTCACCAAATAAGCATTCCTGAAAACTACAGTTTAATTTTACCTTTTTTTGAATTTTTATATAAATGGAATCTTACAATACATATTTTTAGTGTTGGCTTTTTTCTATCAATGTTTGTAAGATTCATCTACACCACTGTTAGAGTTGTCTTCATTCCTGTTCATAAGTCTAATTTTTTCCATTATATGAGTATACCATTATTTATTCTACTGTTAATGGATACAAGTTGTTTCTAATATTTCATTTATTAGAGATAAAGCTAAGAACATTTCTGTAATGGTTCCTGGTGCACATGTACATGTTTCTGGGTACATTCTAAGAGCAAAACTGTTGGATTACACAGAATACAATCTCAAACCTGTTTTCCAAATTGTACCAATTTACACACCCACCAGCACTTAATGAGTTTCCACTGCTCCACACCCTCATCAACATTTGGTATTATTAGACTTTCCAGTGGCTATATAGTGTTTTATTTTGCATCCTGATTATTAATGAGTTAAGCATATTTTCATGTGTTTATTAGCCATTTGGATTTTATCTTCTGTCAAGTGCCTATTTAAATCTTTTATGCATTTTCCCACTGGGCTTTCTATATTTTCCTTAATGATTTGTGGGAGTTTTTATAAATTGTACACATTCTGTTAATTATGTGTGTTGTAAATATCTTCTCTCACACACCATCTTGCTTTTCATTCTTAATGGTGCTTTTTGGTGTCTTTCATTTTCATTGGAAGTTTTAGGCAAATTTATCAATCTTTTCCTTTATGGTCAGAGATTTTTGTGACCTAAGAAAATTTTCTATAACTCCAAGGCCATGACGATATTCTCCTATCTTATATTTTTAAGGTATGCTTTCTGGTTCTTACTTTCCCATTTAGGTTAATCATCTATCTAAACTTTTTTACATACAGTATGAAGTACAGGTGTATATATGTGTCTTCATTTGTATTTTTCCTCATATTCCCAGCACTGTTTATTGAAAAGACTGTTCTTTCCACACTGTTTTGCAGTGACAACTTGATTTTTTCTCCTAATAAAATAAGCACCTATTAATGCATCCATTTGTTTCTCAGGTATCCTGTTCTACTGGTCTTCTCATCCATCCTTGTACCAATACCACACAGTCTTTTAATTACTACAGTTTTATCAGAATAAAGGATTTTTTTCTTGATTAATCTTACTAGTGATTTACCAGTTTTATTTAATCTTTTGGACTCAACTTTGGTGATTATATGCTTATATTGCATTATGTATTTTCTATTTTATTAATCTCAGCTCTTTAGATTTCCTTTCCTCCAAGTATGGCTTTACCTATATCACATAAGATTTAAGATATAGTATTGTTTTCATTATTAGAAAATTTTCTAATTTCCAGCGTGCCTTGGTGGCTTAATTGGTTGAGCATCTGACTCTTGGTTTCAGTGCAGGTCACGATCTTTGGGTCATGAGATCAAGCCCCGAGACAGGCTCGGCGCTCATAGCAGAGGCTGCTTGAGATTCTCTCCCTTTCCCTCCCTCCACTTGTGTGTGCACTTGTGCATGTGCACTCTCTCTCTCAAATAAATAAAATCTTAAAGAAAATTTTCTAATTTCCGTCATGATTCTCCTTTGACCTCTGAAGTACTGGAAATATATTTTTTAATATCTAAATATAAAGGGATTTCCTAGTTATCTTTTTATTATTATTAGACAAGTCACTTAAGTCAGAGCACATACTCCTAAGATTGCAATCCTTTGAAATTTGTTAAAATTTTTTTTTTATTAAATTTTAAAAATTCAATTAGTTAACATATAGTGTATCATTAGTTTCAGAGATAGAGTTCAGTAATTCATCAGTTGCATATAACACCCAGTGTTCATTACATCACATGCCCTCCTTAATGCTCATCACCCAGTTACCCCACCCCCCACCCACCTCCCCTCCAGCAACCCTCAGTTTGTTTCCTATAGTTAAGAGTCTCTTATGGTTTGTCTCCCTCTCTGATTTCATCTTATTTTATTTTTCCTTCCCTTCCCCTATGTTCATGTTTTGTTTCTTAAATTCCACATATGAGTGAAACCATATGATAATTCTCTTTCTCTGATTGATTTATTTTGCTCAGCAAAATACCCTCCAGTTCCACCCATGCTGATGTAAAACTTTTTCATGACTATATGTGTTTTATATATTTCATGTGTACTTGAAAAGAAGGGCCCTGCAGCTGGGTGCAGTATTCTAAAATATGTCCATTAAATCAATTTTCTTAATCTTTTCTATAACCTTGTTATTGTTTTTTTAATCTGCTTGTTGTATCAATTACTGAAAGAGGTATTAAAATCTCCCATGATATTTATGGATTTGTCTATTTCTCTCCATAATTCTGAGTGTTTCTGCTTCATCTGTTTTGGGGTAATGTATACTTATAGCTCCCAGGTGAATCAGACCTTTCATCACCTTATCTATTGAATCTTTTAATCTTAAATTCTATTTTATCTGATATTAAATATATCTCAACCTTCTTTAAGTTTGAATGATTTATTTATTTATAAAGACTTACTTAGAAAGAGAGTGTGTGCACATGTAAGCAGGAGGGGGGGAAGGGAGGGAGGAAAGGAGGGCAGAGGTAGAAGGAGAGAAGCAGACTCCCCACTGAGCATGGAGCCTGATGTGGGGCTCATCCCAGAACCCAATATCATGACCTGACCCAAAACCAAGAGCCAGATGATCAACTGA